TTAGAAAAAGCTGATGGAAACACACCTACTTCTTGCATCTTAGTTTATTGTTGACGTGTTCTAACTAGGGCTGAAACAATAAGATTAAACGATCATTAAAATAATCAACTAATTTAGTAATCGATTAATCATTAACTGGAGTGTACAGACTCTAAAACACGCCTTTAGCTGACAGAGCAACCCACTTACAGCAGTAACTATACCAAAACTGTATAAAAAAATATATAAATAAATAAAAAGTAAACATTTTACATTTAGATAAAAACTTTTTCATCTCTCTAACATCCAGTACTCCTCAAGTAGGAAAGTTTTAGTTTCACCTGGTTTAACTTCGTAAAAGATCTTCTTAAAGGAATCTTTGGCTATCAAAGTATCAATCGAAATTATCGAATTATTCATTGAAAATATAATCAATTTGCAAAATAATCGGCATTTACAGCCCTAGTTCTAACCTGACTGCAGTTTTCTGTAAATAAGAAGAAAAGTCAGAAATCTTGCAGTGGATTAGCTCAGTAAAGGGGGTTCTTTAGACATTAATATATCGGGGTCAGAAACATCATCTGTAATGAAATGACGTCATTTACGTGCAAATCAAAGCTGTAAAAATGAAGTTAGATGATTCCTTATTTTTCAAGCGTCTCAATCTTACCTTCCTCCCGCAGCAGTAGCCCAGACCCTGCATGACGGGGTCAATCTCCGACTCGAAAACCTCTGCCAGCTTAGAGCAGTACTTGTAGACTCTGGATGTCTTGCGATTGTAAAGCCAGGCGTTGTTAAACATCAGCCACACGTCGTCCACGTACTGCCAAGGCTCTTGGTACTGTCCGGTGTCCAGCTTACGCTTTATTGTGGACAGATCTATGGGGTTCTTAACTATATCGAAGTAATCCTAGGGGATATGAAAACAGAAGTTAAAATAAAGGGCATGTCTTTCCAATCAGACATGGTTTAAGTTCTGTAGGGAGACTTTGTTGTACATACAGGGATACCAAGGAGCATGGGGTCTACAGGCTGTCTGAACGGCAACGATTCCGGGTCCTGCCTGTACAGAGACTCCAGAGTCGGCATCAGAGCCTGCCGCAACTCCTCAGGCTTGAATACTGCAAAACAAACCACAAGGAGACGCTGAGTTTTACAGAAAACAGGCGGGTTAAACCGTGGAGGCTTGGAACATAATGAGGGATATAACTAGTGTGTGGACGTGTGTGGAATAACATGTATCCTAACTGTGACTCTGTTAATGACTGTCACATACTGCTAAAAGGTAACAAACAATGCTGTTCATTTTTAAACTAATCTTATCAAATTCAGATTCAATTAAAGAGGAATCCAAGATGATTAAATGATTTGAGATGATCATGTTTTCAGCATTTGAGTCAGGAGCTTGAATGAAGCACATCAAATGGTCTTTTCTAGCCTTCCCTGCTATAAAAGAACCTCCAAACCATTGAGGAGTTGTAATAATGAGATCTTACGACCTCAATGTAAACATGGGATTGTTGAAACTTGGATTGTCCAAATCCAGTATTCATAATGAAAATATTGGATGGGAACATCGTCAGATATCAGGCAGAGAATTAATATTTGTACAGATCAGCCTTGATCTAAAATCTACGCTGTTAGCATCCTGACTAAAACACTTCCCTTCTGTCTCCTTAAGTTCATTTAACTCATTGGTTACTAATAAAGGGGTTAGTTTATATCATACTCATTGTTGGCTATTGCCATCTCTTAAAATAATACCATTTGATCACACCTCTATATGCCACACTACTAAAAAAGTAATCAATGTATGTATTATTTGACCTGCGATTATAGCGGTTCAAAAGAGTACAAAATTAAAGCTGCAATACGATTATATCAGACCTGAAAAAGCTGTAATGGAACTTGCTTGCTGAAACAACCACTGGTTGAACCAGTGCTGGGTGCATTTAACGTTTTTAAGTGAATATATTGAAAATGAAGGATGGCCCAATATTAGAAAAAAAAGGATATAAAGTAAAAATTGGTGCATAATGGGATTACAGGCAATAAATTGATAGAATCGATCGAAGTTCTTGTGTAATAAAGACCGTAGAGGAGTTAGTTATCCAAAAGCAGCATACATTTTTAAATTCATTACTTCTATCTGAACGAGGGATGCACCCACCGTTCACTTCTTACAAATACTGGATTTTGGATATCTGCTGATCCTGATATTTTAATCACTACGGTTGGTTTTATGAGGTACAGTGGTATCCTCCAAGATCTGTTAGCCTCAGACTCACTTTTCCTCCGTGACTGAGAGGGAGATGAGGAGGTTGTGCCATTGCTTCCGTTGTCCTCCTCTTCTTTGGGTTCTGTCTTCATTTCCGGCTTTTTCTCCTCCACCTCCATTGGTTCTGGCTTTTCCTCCAACTCCTCCTTCTTCACCCCGCCAGAGTTGGAGTCGTTCTCACCCTGTAGATAAGAAAATAGTGATCTCATTAGGCCATGACATAAAAAATTCACCGGATCGTCGGTAAAGCAGGTTTAATAAGTCATAAAGAAATGTGCAAAAAATGCCTACATTATTATTTAATGTATACTATGTGGTAATTGATGGGTTATTTTGAGTTGCCCGACATTAAAACTCTGCAGCCCTATAATATATATGGCATGTTTGGGACCTGAGTTGACCACACCCAATAAAGTTGTAAACGTGTGATTGGAGATGTAATGGAGGAGAGAAAGAAGAAAAGGAAAAATATGGTTTATTACAGTTTTCTCTGCAGCCAAGTGTCTAAGCTAAACATCTCTGGGGCCAAAGTGCAAATCTGAAGAACAATTCTTCATTTCCATTTAGCAAAGATTAATGAGGGAAAAGTAAAAAGCAGCCCTCATATTTACTGGATCAAACTTGTTAATCAAACCCACCTCCGTCTTGGGTTCAATTTTCCCACCAGCAGCTTCAAACTCCTGTTGGTCAGTTTGTGTTTCCGCTTTGATCTCCTGGGCAGGCAGGTCGGCTCCGACGTGCTGCGAGTGCAGGTCGGCGCTGGCGGCAGAGGCAGGTGTGGGAACTCTGTTATCCAAACTGGCCCCTGGTTGGGAGAGCTGAAGTAAAAAGAAAAATAAGGAGGATAACGATAACTGAAGGTTAAATAAGAAAACAGTGTCACCCCCCCCTAAACTTTTCTGCATGCAGGGCTGCAGCTAATGACACAAACAAGCACCCTGTGTTTAACATTGATCTCTTAGTATAACACGTGGGGTGGTGGTACAGACGGTGGTGAGGAGGCAGTTATCAGACAGGTGGATGTGAATGGGATGGGGAGAGGAAGGGGGGGAGGGGACAGTTTGTCGGCATGCGGAGGGACTCGAGTCTCACCGGCGTGGTAGGGGGCTGAGTCAGGGGCTGCGTCTGTGCGGCTGCAGGGGGCTCCGGCTGGGGTTGGGGCTGAGAGGGGCAGGGTGGGGTGGCCCCCTGGGCTGGGGCCGGGACGGGGAGGGTGGGGGTGGAGCTGCGGCTGGAGGACTGGGGGTGTGGCAGGTTAGTGGCCACCCCAGCCGTGGAGGCTGAAGAAGCAGTGGGTGGAGGCGTGGAGTGCAAGGGGGTTTGGGAGGAGGCTAGCTGAGGGCCCAGCGGGGGCCCCAGAGTATTCATGGGGAGGTTAGCGCTCTGTTGCTGTTGCTGGAGAAAAAGGACACAGAGCAGGCGGACAAACGAAATATTAAACAGCAGACACCACAAACAATACAGGGTTTAGAGTACATAATGTGATCGGTAGGATCGATTAAACAAAGGCAAAATGGTTAATTAAATATTTCCCTTCTCTGAGAATAAATTTAAATTAGAATGACACCTTTAGAAAAGGTTAAAATGTCACATTAGTCTTGAGATCAGTCCTGCAGCTTAGTTAACTACAGCTCCACACCCCTGATGGCTCACCTGGGTGACAGGAGCCTGCGCCTGCGGCTGGCCCATGCCAGGACCAACTGTAACATTCATGGCACTGGACACAGAAACGGCACCAGATCCAGGTGTGAACTGGGTCTGAGGCAGGAACTGCCCCTGATTGGGTGTCTGGCCCACCATGTTGCCGTGTCCAGGCATCAGGCTCTGTGCCTGGGGCATCCTAGAGGGAGACATCCCCACCTACAGGATAGGAAAAGAAGAATATTAGGAGCACAGAATACATCAATAAAGTGGGATCAAAATTGGGTGTCATCAATGTTGCATGAAATATAAACTAATAAACCCTTTGTTTGTATTACACTTCTTTAAGATTAGTACAGAAAAGCAAATTAGTTATAAAAACCCAAACAACAAAAACAAATGGAAGTAAAACATAAAAGTAAGGATTAAGAAACAACAAATATGTTATTTAAAAAAAAAACAAGAAAAAAAAAAGTCTAAGAAAGATTCCTTGTTTTGTTTATAATTTGTATTTAAAATGTGTTGGAAATGCTATAAGTACTGCTAAAGCTAACTGAAGAGTCAAACAAGAATTATTTCACATAATGGAATAAGTCGTGCAGAAGTGTACGACTCTGGAAGGAAGAATACTATTATAAATTAAATGTTTTCATGATATCCAATGTTAAAAGAGGAGGCAATATTAGTATTATGATCCCTATTACTTTCGGTGTAATTCACATCTTTTTTTCTTTTTTCTTATGTACATTTATAAAAAAAAAATCATTTAACTGAACAATGACCAAAAAAAATAAAAATGTTTAAAGATAGCAATACTAACCAACTGGTTTACCTCTCATAGCTCATTTTTTTAGTTAACCCCTTAAGCCTAAGCGCCCCCTTCCTAGGGGGCTGGAGCTATTTTACAAACATTATAAGCTTGTAGCTGAATACTGACACACACTTATATGTTCACGTCTCTAAAAGCCTCTAAAAGACTTTCTACTTCATTCTAATATTCACCAACCATAGCTCCAACACAGTGCCAAAATGCAATTTATGACCCAAGTTTGGATTTTGGTGGAACTGGTTTCAACACACCTAGCGGTGCTGAATTATGTATTTCTAATGAAATCCAAAGACACTGAATCAGCTGAAGCCAAGCGCTTTCGCGAAACTCAAACACGTCCTCCAAAAGTACCAGCAAACCAAAGCAAATAACCTGTCCTTCCTTTGCTGTAATCAAATTATATTTTCATCCCAATAAAAGTCAATTTTCCTAAATATATCTAACCAGTAGCTTATTATTTAGCTAAAAGCTACCTTTGCTCTCTGTATTACAGTACTACAACATGCCCATATTTGGAATCCGTTATCCTGTGTCAATCAAAAATCTTTTTGCTACTCTCGCTTGTGTTTTGCCGGGGCTTCCTTCCATCTCATACTGGGGAAAGCAAGCTTTCCAAAAAGGTATGAAGCTCCCTGATTGGACAAACAGTTATTTAGCTTCGCCCTGCGTCTTCATGCATTTTTTTCCCCCAACATAGATTTATATGTATATTGTGTAATTACAGTGCGTAAATAAAGAGTAATGAAAAAAAAATTTTTGGGATGAAAACTGTATTTTTATAACCAAATATTTAACATTATTCCAAATTTTAAATTTCAGCATTTGTGCCAAACTGTTCCAAAATGGCATATTAAAGGTTCACATGGATAGTTTTCCAATCTAAACACCAAACTTGCTACATATGTAAACAAGATGTTCTAGTTACAGCTTATTATGTTTATTTCCTTCGTTACAGGAAAAGTGATTTTTTTTTTACACTTTTAATTTTTCAATGCATGTCCTTTATGTTGCTTGATAACAATACTAGCCGTTTAGGCTAAGTAAGAATATTCCTTTTCAAGAAAATAGCCCCGGGGGGCTTAAGAGGTTAAACTACTGGTCTCATATAAAGATTTGGTTCAAGAAACTAAAATTCAGAAAAAGAAAAGGAAAAATATTTCCTCTGTGAAGTTCTTACCGGGGGAACAGAGCTCATGTTCATTTGCTGTGGGTGGTTCATAGGAGAAGCTGCTCGGGGTCCCATTGACGACTGGGCGTTGGACATAGCCATGTGGTTGAACTGGTTCATACCTGTATACCCCCCAGGAAAAAAAAAAAAAAAAAAAAGGCAAGCGAACCATTCAGCCAGAGAAAAAAACTACATCAGCACAAAAGGTCAACATGGCAGAGGAAGTTCATACATTTGTTCCTTATTTAGCTAAATGTGCAAACTTAAACCCCAAAGTGACTTCAAACACGTTCAGTCTATTCAGTTCAACAGCATGCGGCTCAAGTTTCTCCATACCTTCAGGTAGGGGTGGAACGGTTCACAAAATCCACGGTTCGGTTCACGGTTTCGTGGTCACGGTTTTCGGTTCGGAATATGTTGATTGTTAGCCTGACATGTTGGTCGTGTTGCTGTTAGCATAAACAAAACGTGTTGCACAATGCTGGCACACTGTTTTTATCCACAACTTTCTTTCCACCGTCATCGTAGGTCACTCTAAATGCAAAGTGGTCCCATACAGCAGACCTATAAAGTGCTGCTGGCGCGTCTTCCAACTCCTGTTTTTTCCCACTCGGCATACCCAGACAAAACTCCACAACAACTGATTTTTTTTCTGCTACACACGGCTACGCTGCTTCGCTTCTTCCTCTTGTTTACTACTGGTGGTTGGCTTTGGTCGCAGTACCACCACCTTCTGCTCTGGAGTGTACATGCTTCGCCTATGAGAAAAAGGAGCAGCATGAACCGAACGCAACACACGCGAATCGAACGGAGACAGTCGAACCTAACGGTTCAGACGGTTTTCATAAACCGTTCCATCCCTACCTTCAGGTATTCTAGGTAAACATCTCTTATGAATGTTCAACTTATCTTGATTGTGAGAACCTCCCCCCCAAAAGTGCTGAAATAAGGTTTTCCAAACCCTTAAGTGTTTGACCCATATTCTCACTGTTGTTTATCCTCTCAATAGTGGACATTTGTTAGTGTCGTCAGTGCTAACAGACGTAGTGCCTATCTTAAAAAAAACAAACAAAAGATGGAATGTTCTCACGCTTGTGGGATAAAGCCAGAGTGTAATTATTCTCCCATTATGAGACATTTGTAATTTTAATGACAACTTTTTCCCCCACATTCATTGTCGGAGTCCCTGATCTCCATTTATTCACTGTATTGCTGATAGACCGAAAAAAACTGAAGTCACCTGCCGCCATCTTGGTACTCCCCACTTTCACTGAGTGGTGCCATAAAAACGGTGATGTAATGCAATTAACAGAACAGTGTAATCAATCAATTTAGCACTTTTGGCACATCATCACAGTGTAATATTCTTCATAACAGACTACAGTATTATTATGCTCCATTAACACATTGATTTTGCTGTAATGGATTTGTATATGTCATATTACATGATTAAAAGATTTCATGGACTTCATACTGACAATGCAATGTGATGTGGCTATTTTTTTTTTCATACCATAAATGACAAAGATCTTCAGATTCTATGAAACAGAAAGTGTGTGTCAAAGTGATGAATTTATCTTTATTTTAAAATTTATTTAAGCCCTCCTAAAAATAAAAACATCTTCATTGTTCGATGCAGTAGTGCGCGTATGGTTTACATTCCAGCCGGTCTAACCAGGGAGTACCATAAAGCAGCTTGTGACTTCACAGCACCGTGTACTACCAACGGCTATCAGCAATCCAGTGACTAAATAGAGGTCTGTGGTCTGAGTTGACAACTTAATCTTATTTGAACATTAACAACATTAAGATGAAATCTGTACCTGGAGGAACCTGAATGCGATTCATGATCTGATTTGGTATGTTTGGTAGAGAAACGGGTCCATCTATGAAACAAAAAGAAGGATTCATCAAATCACTTCACCAACAGGTGGGACTGTAAAAGCACCAAAAGTGGGCATAACTTCCTGCAGTCTGAGTGACGTCATCCTGAGTTGTACTCACTCTGTGGCCGTGGACCCAAGGCGTTGGGCTGCGTGAGGCCAGGCTGCTGCGTCGCCTGGGCAGTCATAGGTGGCTGGTTGATGATCTGCTTCTGCAGCCTTGAACGTCTCTTCTCCTCAAGTTCCTTCTGGATTTTGTAAATCTTCTCAGCCAGGAAGTGGTAATACTCATCCTGAAAGAAAAAGATTGCAATGTTGATCATTTGAGCAAAAAAACCCAAAAAATCTCACAGCGTATATTTCAACTGATAGTGCATCATTTAAGTCAGGCACTGAAAAGGCCATCTTACCCGGCTGTTCGCCGACTCATACATGTCTCCCTCGACTTTTCTCGCATAGGCGACCAGATTTTCCATTCGCCTGTCCTTTAAAGCAGCCGGGTCAGGGGTAGGGAATATGGCTTGTACTCTGCAACATTAAACAGCAACATTTAAAGAGATGGTTTGTACCAAAGCATTCTGAGAAAAAAAAAAAAAGGAACAAACTAGCCAAAAGGTTTTTTCACTTAATTGGAACAGCCAAAGGGCAGCAGTTACCTCTCTAAACTCATGGCTAACACTTACAGTTTGTGAACGAGGTGATTGCGCAGGTCCTGAGTGACATGCTCATGCCAGGCCTTCCTGGCGCCTGTGGAAGAGACGGGTGCTGCTGTGGGCAGGCTTCCCATCTGGCCCACAGAGCCGTCTGACAGCAGCTGACTGAGGGTGGAACAGGGAGGAAAAAAGGTTAGAAGTTACAAATATACCACTTCCTTGAATAAAATGATTATCAATATATGTCCTTAGAACATAAAAATGTGTTTTATGGTTCTACTGAAGGAAGCAGAGACTGACTTGTTAGTGTTGAGCGTGTTGGAAAGGGAGTCAGTGTGCAGATTGGTCTGTTCTGACGCAGTCCCACCCATTGTCCCGCCTCCAAGAGGCATCTGGTTACCTGGTTACAAACATATTGGCAAAGAAAGCAGCCTTCAAAGATCAAGCTCCAAACATTATTTTGTAGATCTTAAAAGGGAATAGTTTGTCACTTTCAGTTTATGTGTCATATTTCATTATAGCACTGATTTTGCACAGCATTATCAAACCTATATAAAATTCTAAATATTAAAAGAACTTGACTCAAAAATCTATTGGTACTTGGCCTGTTGTGATTATGCATTTTGCTGAACATAATCTGATCACGATAAATGAAAATGATAGCAGCATATTAATGTAGGTAATCCCCATCAACGTTTCTATCTAATTTTCTATAAAAATACCTTTTGATTTATGCTGCTACTCAACTTAAACATGTTAGTCAGCAGCTAATGATGAGATTCAGTTCCAATATGTTTAATTGAAAATGTTTACAAAAATTACATTTTACATAAGAAAGTACTTAGAATTCAGAAAATACACAAACAAGTAGTTAAGTCAGTAGTGCTAATTGAATTACTAATCATTACATATCAGCTATCAGTGGGAGAACGTTTAATCTGTAGCCTCTTTATTCTTCTTTTAAGGTATTGGTGAAATCCACTTCACCCGGAGAGCTGTGTAACAGACACACCCCTCTCTCACACATAGTGTGACATAACCTCTAGTGAAATTAATCAATAATGATCAATAACAGACCTTTTTCTAAATGGTTAAAATCCATTATTAATGATCTAATAATAACAGTTGATATTAAATCAGTTTATACAATTGGAAATCATTCTAATTTCGAAACGATTCTGGAAAAGTGGTGCCATATTATCATGTAATGAACTTTATTATGTGGTATGCTAAATATTAAAAAGATGGAAATTATTGGCCTGTAATCCAATTTATAAAAGTAAAGTAGTCCTGCTGTAATTTTCCAAAGTTTGATCAACTTAACACAAATACACGTCTCCCATAATAGCCAAGAGGAAATGACGGTTTAAGGCGATAAAATAACCCGTAGTAAGCACAGGTTGATGCTGATGAATATGTATATTTTATTTTCATAAAACTACTTTTCTACAAATAAAAATAAACCAGTTTTTCCAGAAAATAGAAAACACACATACCATTATAGTTTTTACTTAAAGCAGTTAACAAGAAGTCAGATTATGCAAAAAAAAAAAAAAAAAAGCATATGCACAAAAAATGCACAAAATTGTGTTTGTGATCTATTTCCAAATAGAACACGGCAGGTGGATATTACCGATAGTGCTGATGGGTCTCATCTGCTGAGCAAGCTGGGTCTGGGAGTTCTGGGCTCCTGTTTGTCCTGGGGCCTGCTGAGCTGTAGCCTGTCCAGCCGCCTGGCTGCTGTAGGGCAAACCGAGTGCTGCGTAGGCTCTCTGCATGGAGCTGGGGTCTATGGGAGTTGAGGTATTGATGGTGGGTGCGCTGGGCTGACCCATGCCAACAGAGGACATGGGGTTCTGGAGGCCGGTGTTTGGGGAACTCAGCAGAGCTGTGGTAAGGAATAAAAATGAAAATAACTTTAGCTCAAATTTTGTAAAAATAAACAAGAGACACTTATATGTGTTGAAATTTTCCGAACTGTAACAAAGTTTGGACTTTACATCCTCGATTGTTAAGATTCAAAAAATGTACAATCAGAAAACTGCAAAAACAAAACCAATAGAGAATTTTCAAACTTTCGATGGATGAAAAGGTTATAAACTTCAACTCTAGAAAACAGAAAGTAAGCAGAAAATATAAAGTGGCTCTTTATGCAAGAACATAATACATCATGTTCTCCAATAAGCAAGCCAAGGAGAGAGAGATAAACACTGGAAGGACGCTGACTGAAGAATGGAAAGAAAATGAGGAAAGTTTATCCAACTACTGTGATTAATCAAGTGCAGGGAAACTAGTGACTGAAAACATTACACCAACATTTACCAGAGAGTTAACATTTCTATAATTACAAATCAAATACCGGGTAACTATTGAAAGCTCTGTTTCTATCTTTACAAAGCAAAGCCAAAGGTCTAAAGGTCCGGCCAACTGGCTCTTTAAAACAGAACCGTCAAAAGCTTCCTGTGTTTGCTGCGTGGACGACCGCAGTTCGAAACATTAGGTCAAACTCACGCTGCTGGGTTCGCTTGTCGCTCGCATTCTTCAGCGGGAGGCAGACCGGACAGTCGTGTCGTGTGCAGTTTTTCCAATGGGAGATGATCTGTCTGGACGATGCGCAGTGAGCCACTGCAAAGAACAAAAGTTCCAACATAGATCCTTATTTAACAAACCACAAAGATAAATTCATTAAGCAACAAAGAGAAATGCTACTACTCTCCATCCTAAAAGGCTGTTGGTTTGGCCCACCAAACTTAACTTCCTTTTGGGTAGGGTAGAGTAAAGGCTTCTTATCTGACAGGAAACCCCTGATGAATACATTTTGTGCTAAATATTTGACACCTTTTAAAAAACGTCAATATAGCTTCAAGTGAGATGTATCAGGCTTTAGGTACTGAAACACAAAGATGTAGATTTAGATGAGCTGTTTGGTTGTTAAAACTTTGATTCTGATCTTAAAGTTGACCCCAGAGTCAGGGAGGCACCAGCTTATGAAACATAAGAGTTCAAGTAACATCTGGTCAGTATTAATATCATTTTGGCATTGCTTGATAGCAACCTACCTTGGCAGGATTTCCCAGCCTGGCAGTGGGTCATGTGGTTGAGGACGTTCTTCATCGTGCGGCAGTGAGGAAGGGCGCAGCTTCTCACCTCCCCGTTAGCCTGCTCTCTCCTCTGGCACTTGTGTGCGTGAAGCAGCAGGACCAGCTGCTGCTGGATCAGCTTGCGTTTCTCTGGATCAGCTGTTGGTCCTGCCGAAGGCACCGCCACACCTCCGCTGCTGGCCAGCGGGAGCATCCCTGCCTGCTGCTGCTGCGGCTGCTGGAGCTGCTGAGCACAGGAAAGCAAACGAATGTCAGCGCTACCATGAATTACAGAAAAATTCATTTTTGACATTCTAAAAGAAGAAACTACGAGTTAGGCTTGGATCAAACTTATGATGAAGAAGAACAAAGGTATCACAATCAGCCCATTTCCCCACTATATCATTCCTGCAATCTAAAAAGTTTAGTGACCGGAGAAAATGCAGAACAACGAAACAAAAACATGACTGTTTAGCAGCTTGTCACCTATTACTTGTCTTCAAAATCAAAGTATTGAATGTTTAAGATCAGCTATAATATCTGTAATAATATATCATTTTATAAGCAGAGGGAATTATTTCTGCTTAATCTTTTAACTTGTGCATTTATGGCACAATAACAGCAGCATTTTGAGGGAGGAGTGTTGAAGGTGCTGGTTTTCCAAAATCAGCATTTAGGCCAGAAAGCTTAATCTTGTTCTCATGGGTTCATCTATTTCACATGGCTTCAACAATTCAAAGAGAAATACGGTTTGCAACCCTGAAAATAAAAAAAGGGATACTTCTTGGCCAGTCATCGCCTCCCACCCTATCGACATTAAAGCCGTAGGGAAACTGACCGTTGCAGTTCCGAATTCTCCGGAGTGGTGCAAGACTTTACATGAGTGAATAAAGTGAATGCGATTGGTCCTCATCAAGGGGGCAGGATTATTGTGGCGTAAGGTTCGCAAGCATTTTGGATTTGGCCGGTTTGTCGGAAGCATCTTGCTAACCAGTTAACAACTTAGAGCTATTAAGTTCCCAATGGGAAGTTACATTGGGACCAAGTAGCACTAAATCAGTGACTTAGAAACAACACTGTCAAGGAACGCTATGGACAGCGGAAACATGCAAGAGGAGGAGAGTTATGTGTCAAGAGGTCGTGGGTGAGTCTCCTCAGTCATACATTTTTTATTCAAAGGAGGAAAGTGAGGGCAAAGTTGTTGTAGAAAGAGGACGCCAGGGCGACAGAAGCTTGGTTTGGTGTAGAAGGCTTACAGCCATACGTGTTTGAGCCCTTGCCTCGCAACGCTGCCAGTTCTGTTAGCTCTACGCCTGCCGAAGACACAGACGTCCATCCCTGTGAACACTGGGATGTAACTCAATGGTAAAGTGAATGATTCTTATTTCTTATTTTCTGCGACATATGAATCAAGATGCTTTTACAGATGGCCGTTGATATATGATTTGCCAAATTTAGATGTACAAGCTGTATAACTAACTGGCCTGCATAAGACAACAAAAAAACAAAACAAAAAAAACATCACAGATTTTAAGACAGGATTTATTTTTAAATAAAAGTGTTCTAACTTTTGGGATGATATCTGATAAAGAGTGTATTTAAATACATGTTTAAGCCAGAACTATTTGACATTTAAATATGACTTCCCTATGTCTTAAAAAAATTATTTTTACCTTTTCTTATGTGAATTGATTTTGTAGATTTTCTAAGTAAAACCTGAATTAAATTAGACACATACTTTTAGTTGTTAATATGACACGGTTCCATTTTTTAAAGGGACAGTTAGCAACTTAGGTCAGATTTGTTGAACTAATGCAGACCACAGATTTCACCAGCTAAGCTGGAGATCAAAGTAGCTCCTCCAGAACTACTATGCTGCTTCTCTGATTAATGCCCAGCCTTTTAATTAGGTAAGGTTTATATGTTTACGATATAATTTCCCTATTTTGTTGAAAGACTGAACAGAGCTTATTAAGATGTATAAAGCTTTAGATATTCTCTTTTGAAATTTCACTACAGCTTTCTCCTTGACCTGCCTGATGTATCCCTTTATCCTCTTCATGCAGTTTGTTTACCAATGTTTCTCAAACAAACCTTCAAGGCCTGCTGGTGACACTGGTGGATAAGCTGACTTTTGAAGGGAACCGCTTACAAAGGAGTCTTTTTTTAAGTTGAGATGTTTCAGCACAAAGGAAGGTTTTTACTTGTAAAAAAAAAAAAAACATTTACCAACCACATCAAATTTTAGTTTTTCAAACTAAGCCTTAGTTAAATATACCAAGGTTTAGTGTTTTTACATGAAACGTTACAACTGTTTTTGGGTCACGTTATACATTTTTTTAAAATAAAATCTCTGTTCCTATACTGCCACTGGGAACTAAAGCTGAACTACAGTGGTATGAAAAGGTTTTGGGACCCGAGTTAATTCTCATTTTCTTTTAGAAATGGTTTGGATCAACATTTTCAGTTAAACATATAAGTAGGTGAACACAATGATTGCAGAAGTGAAAAGGATTTACAGAACCTTTACAATAATACTCCAGTATGGGAGATTAATGCAGAAGAAGACTTTTCTGCACACAGTACACTAAAGCACATTTGGACAGCCAGCTTCATTTTGGAATGAGGTGCTGTGGACTGATGAAATTAAACTGAGTTAGTTAGACATGACAAGGAGCGGTATGCATGGCTGAAAAAGAGCACAGCATTCCAAGAGAAGCCCTGGCACCCAGAGTAGAATATAGTGGAGGTTCCATCATGCTGTGGGGCTGTGTACTGGAAGTCTTGAGGGTTGCATCAAACCTGACTGAACTGGAGAGTTTTTTTGTTTGTTTTGTTTTTTTTAAGGAGGAGGATCCAAAGTAGCTTCAACCAGATTCCAGAATCTCATTGGAAGCATTTACAGGCTGTTATTTCTGCGATTGGAGGATCTAATAAATATTGATGTTTTTTTTTTTGTTTTTTTTGTTCTCTGCCCAGATTCATGCACCTGCTTATTTCTGGCAGCAGTATCATGTTGTGGGTCTTTGGAACTGCTCAGGGGGTATTGTAAACGTTCTGTAAATCCTGTTAACTTTCTTTCCCTTGTTAAATGTCACTGTTTATCTTCTTTATAACATACTTAACTGAACAGGCAGTAACTGATGCATTTAAGCTTCTGTAGTTGCTCAGTGGTTTGCTCCAGCTACAACGTTGAGCTTTCAGAATCTAAAGCATATGCTAAACTAAAGCAATTATTGGATAATCTTCCATAGTGTTTAAAGCTGTGGTCCACAACTTTTGAGAAAGTTATTGAGGTGTTTTTGGTCCACTTCCATATAAACCAGCCTCTGTATGACCTAACTGAAAAGACCGTCATCTCTTTGGACTTAACAGACCACTATATCAATAAACTAAGTGCAGAAATTATAACTGATCTGTCGTCTGTTGCTTAGCAACTCTGCTGCCAGCATGGTGCGGCTCTCCTCTGGCTTACAGCGCGTTCTCTAACATGGCTCCAAATTAGAAATCAACTGTCATGAAACCTTTGTTGAATGAGCATTTGAACTCCTGAACATTCTGAGTTAGAACAGCTTAACTATACAGAACAGAAATGTTGTATGTAGGAATTCATTATTTTCTGCTCTATGACGTCCAAGTCATTTCAAATGCCCCCTGCCCAAAAAAAAAAGCCCACCCTTGGTCCAAACTAAACATTAGGTATAAGTACACTAAGAAAAGTTACAGATTACAGCTTTAATGAATACCCTAGGATTTAAACTTTTTTTAACATATGGAAAATAATTAGTTTCAGCAAACAGAATTAAGGTTGTCAAAAGTATCGATACTGAAAAGTTGTATCCGGATACAATACTC